TAAATACTAGACACTATTGGAATAAGTACTAGTATCTAATAAATAAGGACTAGTATCTAATGAATAAGTACTAGTATCTAAAGAAAAGGCACTAGTACCTAAATAATAATCATTAGTAGCTAATGAATAAGCACTAGTAACTAACAAATAAGTACTAGTACTTAATGAAATAGATACTAATATCTAAAAAATAAGTAGTAGCATGAAAATAGAGACTAGTAGGTTAAAATGATTAAATGTTATAACGGCTTGCCATAGTACGTTCAGTTCAAGTTCGCTTGAAGTATCATTCAATGAACGTGTTCAGGCACAACACTTTAGAGTATGTGTATATATATATATATATATATATATATATATACACATACTTCTAGGTTAGATGTGATAAATCCTGATTTGACAGCATATACGTTATCTCTGAACCTCAAGAAACCTATTAAAATAATACATTTTTAAAAATCCATGTCATGTGCCCTTTAAGGTTTTAACAGGAAACAAACAGACATGATAGTTAAGGATAAGTTATATAAACCCCATTAAAATGACAGCAATTGTATTTCTCAGCAATTTACATGTACATCATAGTTGTTGTTTTTTTCTTTTATTATTATTATTTTTTTTGTTGGATAAGGTTTAAATTTTAATGTACACAGCAAAAAAAAAAAATCTTCCTTGTTTCCATCTATTAACTTGTTATAGTCTTTATGATATTTAAGGAAGATCCAAAAAGATCATTTTTTTAACATAGCTATCTCATCAGCAGAAACAAAATACTTTGACTTACCTGTCTTTAGTCGAGACAATCAAAATGATGTGTGATTGTTAGGCAGGTCCTTTGGGAGAGTCCACACTAGTCTAGTGAGTTTTCAAAGCTGTGACGCTTTGCATTATACAAATATTGAAAGGCAAAGCTGTTTTAGGATTGAGACACACTTAGATTTTTTCATCACTACACAAAAACTGCTGAAAAGAAGTGATTTTTCACATGGTATTTTCTTTGCAATCAGTAATATCCATAAGTGGTTTATATTTTCCACAATTCACTCAAACGTAAGGTGCATTTTTGTCTCAACTGTACCCATTTCGAGTATATACCATAGGTTGCGATTCTGCCGGTGGTTGCCTAGTGCCCTCCCACCCCTAGTTATTATACACATGAAACAAATGCCCGTTTATCTCTTATGTTAAATGTGATGGTTTCATTCTTGCAGCTACTATATTACAATACATACAGTATATTGACCTGCATTCAATTTAAATTTAACATTTTAATGGTGGAACTTTTGTTTAACAAATCAGAGATTGTGGGTTCTGACATTGTTGCAGCACCTCTCTTCTCAGTCTGTCAGTAACGGTCTGTTTAGTTCCCTTCTCTATGAAGCCCCTCGTTCTGAAAAGAGCACTGTGATCTGTTTGGTCGGCTGTTTTGTCAACCACTTTCTGTGTGTTTCTTCCCTCTTACTATAACTGCAAGTTTCAAAACACTGCTAACTGATGATCAGGGGTTCTAATCCGACCTCGTATAGTCCCCTCGAATCCGTAATTTCTTTACAATTTAAAGGTACGGTGTTATATCGTCTGTCAATCATGATGAAAGTGCGAACATGAGTCCAGTTTAGAGTGAAGGATATCCGCCGAGATTTGTGCTCGCGCATTACTTGTTTACGCTCTCTCGACGCTCATAAAAATTGGTTAAAATTGTACAGTTCAGACACCCATTATGTGACATTGTTTACAAGCTGTTTTATTGACGTCTTTCCAGGGTTGAAACTAGACGTGCCGGTATTGGAAGCATGGCGGAACGCTCCCGACAATTTATCCCCGCAGGGCTACCAACTCTCACACATTCAGCTTGAGACTTTCAGAGACTTTTCAGACTTTTCAGATTCAGGCGCAGAATACGCGGAATAATCAGAATTTCTGATTATTTTAATAATAATTTTATAAATAAAGTTAGTAATTTAAGGAAAGGTTTTAGAACACAAGATTTTAATTACTGTGATCTTATCAAAAATGAAATCATGGCTGATGAAATGTGCAATTTTAACTTTAATTGTGTGCAAACTGCAGAAGTGATGGCCCTGTTAAAGTCTCTTCCAACACATGGTAGTCCAGGCACAGACAATTTGGACAGTCTAGTATTGAATAAAACAGCTGAATATATAGCTGCTCCTTTGTGTCATATATTTAATCAGTGTATGGCGAGTGGGATTTATCCATCTCTGTGGAAGGAATCGAAAATTATTCCATGGATAAAAGACAATCGATTATCTTATAATGGACATAACTGTAGGCCTATAAGTAGGCTATTCTGCCTGCAATCAGTAAAGTTATGGAAAGAATTATTCATACACAAATTTGTAATTATTTTCAGAATAATAATTTAATGACTGTTTCAGCATGCATATAGAAAGGCACATTCCACCTGTACAGCGCTCACACAAATGACTGATGGATGGCTTAGAAGTATGGATAATTCTGAATTAGTTGGTGTGGTTATGTTGGATTTCAGCGCTGCTTTTGATGTAATAGATAGACCATCATATTTTAATTGAGAAATTGAAGAGCTACGGCTTCTCTCCTTCTGCGGTTGCACCAATGAAAAGTTATCTGTCACATAGAACTCAGCGGGTTTTTTATAATGGTTCTTTATCTAATTACAAAGGTTTAGTCTGTGGTTTACTACAAGGAAGTTGCTTGGGTCCTCTTTTGTTTTCAGTCTTTATTAATTTGCCCTTAACTGTCAAAAAAGCATCAATGACAATGTTTGCAGATGACTCAACTGTTTACTATGCTTCAGACTCATGTGACAAACTTAATCATGTTCTGTCTATAGAATTGGATGCAGTGTATAAGTGGGTTAGTAGAAACAAATTAGCCTTAAATTTATCCAAAACTAAAATTGAGGCTTGGATCGGAAATTAAAGTTACATATAGCCGGGCAAAGAATAGAACAGGTAGAAAAAGCTAAACTGTTGGGTGTGGTGATTGATAGTAGTCTTTCTTGGACGGAACACATAAATACAGTACTATTGTTAACCGAATGGGATGTGGCATTGCAGTAACAAAAAAATGTTGTAATCATGTGAATCAGAAAACTCTAAAAACAGTAACAGAGTCACTAGTAATATTATGTCACTTGTCTTACTGCATTGAGGTGTGGTCCTCTGCATCTAAAAAGGATTTGACAAATTCAGGTTGTGCAAAATAAAGCGGCAAGACTTGTTCTGGGCTGCTCAGTTAAAACAAGTAGAGACCAGATGTATTCTACTCTTTCTTTCATGGCTCACTTTAGACCAAAGAATAACAGTTACTTTAAGCACTATGATATATAAAACAACAACAATAAAAATGCCTATTTATCTATTTAATCAATTAGTGTATTGTAACTCAGTGCACAATCATAACACCAGAAAGGCAAATAACGGTCACATAATGACCCCCTATCCAAAAACGAATTTTATGAAGAAAACCGTCCTGTATAGAGCTTGTGTCATCTGGAATAACATTCCCATTGAAGTTCGTCAGATTTGTAATAAGCTGTCATTTAAAAGAAGTCTAAGGTGCTATGTGTTGATCTAGGTTTTTATATATTTTCTTTTTTCTTGATTATGATAATTGTAAATGTATTTTTCGCCTTGTCATGAATTGAAATTAGAAGATTGTATGTATGTACTGTACATGTGTATGTCTTTATGCATGTATGTATATATGTATGAAATGTGTATATGATAACTGTGATGATTGAAATGTTGTTGTTGTAATGTAAATTTTTAGAATGGACCCCAGGAAGACTAGCTGACTGTACAGACTTTCAGCTAATGGGATCCTTAAAAATAAACAAATAAATAAACGCGCAGGGATGTTTTGTTGCTGCGTCGACCTGCATCGACCAACACACGCCGGGGTTAAAATTCAAAATAGTTAAACTTTTTATTTGTAAAACAGCAAATCGTGTTGTATCTGAAGGGCAATGTTGAAACAAGCGGCTAGCGTCGCGCATTCCGCGTCCTGTCTGAAAGGCGCTTAACGCATTTGACACTTTTCACATGCTCTCCCACAGAGAAAAATCACAAAGCAAAGAGCACACTGACACCAACAGACTACTAATATTAGGGCCTACCTAATATTTATCCAAATGAGTCAATATTGAATTAAGACTGAAGTCAAATCCAAGAATTTAATTGAATAATACAAATAGTAAACTACCAGTCATTGTACCATGTAAACATTGTAACATGGTGTCACTAAGCTTGAAACAATTCGGTTTAGTTACCATATGTTTTGAAAATCACAATGACACATTGTGATGTAAGTTGTTGTTTTTTTTTTTTTTAGAGACCCACAATGCATCTGCTTTTCTTGAGCATTAAAATGTCGTGATAATACCGTATACCGTGATAAAAGCTCAATCAATTAACAGCAGCATGAAAATTTGAGACCGGCACATGCCTTGAAACCTTATAGTGAAGTGTTAACATTTTGTTCTTTTGGGACAGTGAGAATAAAACAATTGCTACTATAATTTACTTATTTACTAAGTAATTTTAATTTACTATTTAATTGGACCAACGACACGGTTTAATAAACTACGTTTTTCCATTGGCTCAACACATTATTTCTGATTGACCCTATGTTAACAGACTGGCCACAATTAATAAAATTCAATTCACAAAAATTCAGTTACACCAATTGAAAAACTTAGATGTGACTAGTAGTCGCTAGAAAATTTTGAGCTGGAGAGGTTTTACAGGAATTTTTTTTACAGTGTCTGACTAATTGTTCTGGGTAATTTCAGCAGAAAGGCAGCTCAAGTATTCTCAGTCAGGGGTCTAATTAGGTTCTCATTTTGTTTGCTGTGCAATGAAGCGCCCAGTTTCAGTTAGTTCCTTGTTCTGCATTGTTTGTTGTGAGTGTTTAAGTTGGCTGTGTTTCAATCTCCTGTCTTTCCTTTTGAGTTTCAAATTAAAGAAGGTTTTAACCATTCCTTGTCTTCGTAGGCTATTGACTACAGCCAACCATGACGGAATGCAGAACCCAAAGACAAAAATGGCTGAAGATCACCTCCTCTCCCTCTGTCAAGAACTTGCCTCCCTGGCTCTCTGAACCTGTATTGCCGGTACCCCCCTTGAAGCTTTCTCTTCTGCACTTTTCCAGCCTCCATGGCACCATTTGGCATGGTAAATGATAACTGAATGATAAAAATGTCCATATCAACTGTCCTACCCACAACCTATAAACACGCTTGCCAAAGCCACATAGTTTACCATGATCATGTTGATATTAGGGCTGCAACAACTAATCGATAAAATCGATTATAATCGATTATGAAAATCGTTGTCAACGAATGTCATTATCGATTAGTTGGTCTGATTACGTCACGGGGATTGTTTACATGGAACATGCGCTTCTTACATGCGCTTCATGAGGCGCACATGCAGTCTCTCTCCCTCGCCGCTCTACCCTGTCTCGCGCGCGCAACACGGACAGTTTGGAGCACATTATCTTCTGTCTCGCATGCGCACTCTTGATTCAGTGAGTTTGAACTAATTTGCGGTCATCAGGAAACCGCTATCAATATGCAGCACACGAAAATCATTCACCTTTCGGTAAATTCGCCGTTTTGAAACCAAAATAGGTGACCTACGTTAATCGTGTATACTTTATGAAGCCATACTATAGTATAATGTGAGATAGAAATGTATATTTAAGTCCCTTTTCCCTCCACTGCGGCTGTCAGTCATTCTTTATTCGGTGTTCAAACAGCGCGTCGCGTTACAACAGTTAACATGATGATCTCTTTCCAAGATGATTCAATGTTATTATTATAATTGATCCGTAGATAAAGGTCTATGATGGTTTTTCTATCTTGCTAGACTTTTATTGCTGTAACTTAATCACTTTCTACTGAGTGTCTGTTAGATCACAACACTAGAGTAGAGTCGGCGCAGTATAATTGTTCTTCACGTGCACAGTAGCCTAACTGAAATTTAAAACTGTTAAAAGAAAAGGCTTAATAAACTATTGCATAGATACTGTATAATACACAGTCGATATGTCTTTCTCTTTCCTTGGTGCTTTTAACTTTAATGCGGCGGACACTGAAGAGCTGCGCGCCGCCCTGTGACTCCGTGTTGCTTCAAGCGCATCATTCAGCGCTCGCGATGCGCATTTGCACTCTGTGCAGCTCTTTCATGATCATGTCATAATACTTTTGCGCAATGAAAGCTTATTAATAGCCTTTCTTGTTCTGTCCTATCTATTATATTTTGCTTCCTCACTAAACAGCTGTGCTTTACATTTAAAACAGCTGTGCATCTGATTTTTACGATGTTTTTCATGAATGTATAACAACAATACAAAGAGCAATGTGTACGTTTTACCAGTGTTAGTGCTACACTTATTGTCTCTTATTTGTTCCCCACTAAGGAATGTTTTTTTCACTAAATGTTTAGATTTTATAAAATTATTGTGCACTTGTGAATGTGATATTCCTAGGCTAAGTTTTGCTGAGTTATCCACTAATCTAGTTTACAATAGCATTTTTGTCATAGGTTATGGTCATATATTTTTTTTATTTCTTGTTTTTCTTTATAATAAGGTTATCTGTATTAAGTAGATTGTTTAACACACAAAAGAGTGTGGTTTTTAGGGTTTTATTTTGTTATAATAAACAAAAAATGAAATAATTTTTTATCCGATTAATCGATTAATCGAAAAAATAATCGTCCGATTAATCGATTATCAAAATAATCGTTAGTTGCAGCCCTAGTTGATATGAGAATATACTGAAAGGAAAGTGTAACTAAGTTCATTAAATACATTCGGAATTTGCACACATCCATTTTTACAGTAATCTTATGCCTAATATGCTGAAAACGGCACTGGGTGAGTTTGTTTGCATGCCTGTACAGTATTGTACAGTTAGCTAGATACATTTTTCATATTTGAAATTCATGCTTGGCTTCTGTAAACTAATACCTGCCGCCTTGGATTTTAATTGGCCAATTTCAGTCATTGTCATTGACGAGTGCTGTTTGACCACTGATTGGCTCAGGTGAGATGAGTCAGTTTTCTTGACATGGTACAGTCTTCCCAAAACCAAAGTACAGTTATTATTTATTTTACAAATTTTATTATACACCATGAATACTGGGGTACAAAAAAACCGGCTTGGGCATTGGGCTTGGTTACCCAGGGCGGTCGCTAGAGGGGGAAAAGGTTGTGATGATTTCAATGGGGGGGAACCTAATCCAACAGCAACAACCCCAGCTCCAGCCCTGCGTTTACTTCATTGGTGGGTGTACGGTCATGAGGAAAGAAGGATGTGAGACTTGCAGGAAATGTTGAAATCCACAATAGTTTATAAAAGGAAGTTTGTTTCAAATGGTTAAGATACAAGTCACAGATACATTTGAGAAAGGTTTATCGTTTGTGTAAAATCATGGCTTTTCTCCTGAGTACCCTAGTGCTGCTTTTAGGAGTCCAAGGTAAGTTTTTTTTAGGAAACATGAGTCGATTTTGGATACGAAACCTGTGTTGGCTCTTTAAATTATTCTAGGGAATAGGATTCTTTCAAAACACTTCTGCTTTGCCAGTCATAATATATTTTTAATGTTTTTGAAACATTGACAAATCTGATGTAATAACGTTGCACATTATACAATGACTAAATTGAGCAGCATTAATTCTGTACATTAGTTTATAGCTAAACTATATCAGGATGAACATTACAGTTAAACAGCCTAATGTAATAAAAAAATGAGTGAGACAGCAGATTGTTACATTTCTACAGTAAAACCATATTGAGATTTATTCCAAATATTTTTCTTTTCCAATTTACTGTGTGAACTTAGTGATCTGAATATTGAGATCAGGCCTGCTGGCTACACAAAAAAAAAACATTTTAAAATAATTATTTTGGAGTTTACAGGAGTGACTACCACATTACATAACCGAACTCACACCTGTACATTTTCTGGACTCACAACCGCATTTTTGCAGAAGATCTGCTGTGTGAACGCAACTGTACTGGAAAACTAGTTTTCTGTAACGGCATACATGAAAGAGAACAGCATATTCAAGACTCACTAATGTTGTTGTCAATCACACTTTTTGTGTTGCTATCAAAAACACTGACAGTGGGAGCGTAGCCGGTGAGCAGTCATCCTGAAAACTTGGGTAAATTGAAAAACTTACTGATACTGAGAATTGTTTAGCTAGAAAAAACAAGGAAGAAAAGTATCTAAAGGTATGTCTTTTGAATTGATCTGCTCAGGTGGAGTTTTCAGGTGCTCCAGATCTGTCAGTGGCCAGCAATAGGGTGTCAGGTGAAGAGGGCGGCAATGTTACCGTCCAGTGTCTTTACAGTGACAAACTTATAGATGAGGGAAAAAAAATGGTGCAGAAGTGGAGATTTGCGCTCTTGTCAAACGGCTCGTAGCGGTGCAGCGCTACAGATAAATGATACAAATGATGGGGTTTATACAGTGACACTCAGGCCCGTCGTGACAGGACAGGCAAACCAAGCAAATGCCTAGGCCCCAAGACAACGACTGTTTAAGAATAAAATGCAACGACAAAGTGTGAGCGCCCCTTTTATAGTCAATGCCGTAAAGTGCAATGACACTGTTGTCAGAATCCCCCTCAGTAGTTGCTGACAGCAGCCAGCCAACCACGCCATCTCTGCTGCCGGTAAAGTACAAACCTCCTCGACAGTCATCATGAAGCGGAATTATGCTTGAGCAAGCCAGAAAAGAAAGAAGAGAAAGGAAGAGGAGGATAAGAAAAAGACAAGATAGTGGTAAAGTGATAAATTACACTGCATAAAAATAACTCTACTTGTCTTGTACATATGGTGTACATATTTTGCAGCTGGTAACGTTGGGCTATAGCAAAAATATGTTTATGTTAGCTACCTGCCTGACGGCAAATGCTGCTTGTAACGAACAGTTAGTGCAATTCTTTTTCTGTTATACTGTTTATCGTATTTAATGACATTGCTGTAGCTTTGTAATAGGTTTTGATGAAAGTGGCGTGCTATACTAACTATGATCATTACCAATGGGGGTTAGGAAAACCACACCATAAATTCTGTGCATCAAACATTAGCTTGGGATGTTTTTAAGCATTGGTAGTGAAAGCAGCATCCCTTCCCTTCTAATATCAAAATATGGAAATGCTAACATATCTTTAATTTTTCTGCAACACTTTATAATATAACCATCATTAATAGATGGTTAATTGCTGGTTATCTTCTTTTGTGCTCAGCAGAAGAAACGAACTGGTTGAAACAACTTGAGAGTGAGTAAATGATGACAGAATTTTCATTTTTAAATAAGTGAACTATCCCTTTAACAGAAATTAACTGAGTTGGTCCTGTTGGACATGACACACAGCAATACTGTCCTGTGTCACTTGTGACCATTGCTCTGAGACATGTTTTCAGCGTCCTAAGCGCACTGACATTTCTTTCAGTCCAGCAGATGGGACTGGTATGACAAGGTTTCAATTTTATCAAACAATGTTATTTTTCATGTTTTATGGGGAATTTCCATAGACATAATGATTTTTATACTGTACAAACTGTGTATCCCCCCCCCCTCCCACACTAACCCTATCACAGATAACTTTCTGCATTTTCAACAAACATCACGTAGTCTGATTTATAAGCCGTTTAAAAAACAAAATTCCTGACCAGGATTTCGGATATTACCATCTTTATGGGGATATTTTGATCCTATAAATTAATGTAGAGTTACATATACACAACACACACTCTCTCTCTCTCTCTCTCTCTCTCTCTCACACACATGCTCAGTCACATACACACTCTCTCTCTCACTCACACGCTTATTCACATACACGCTCTCTCTCTCAAACACACATCCCGCGATTGTCTTACAGTAGGCTATATTGTAAAAACGGCTGTCCCCAAATCAATATTTGACGCGATTTGCCCCGTATTCTTGAGCAGAAAACTGTTGATTTCTCCCTCATGGCTTACCGCATCTGGGTTTCCTAATTCCTTCGGATGAGTTTTGCCGCTTCGCATGCCAAATGTAACAGCCTCTCACAAGTTAGAAAGAAAACACAAAGCCAATCAGTTTCACGATGTTCAGGAGGTGGGACTCAGATCTATTAAACGTTTGTGTAATTGTAATTGACCTTATGCACAGTTGCACTACTTTTTTATACTACATTATAAAATTTAGTTATACTTTTTTCACTACATTATTGGCCAAACTTGATTAATTCAGGTGTGTCTGATTATTGTTGCCGTGACTACTGAGGTCAGGCACACCTGAACTAATCAATTTGGCCAATAATGGCCGACAGGAAACAAGAGGTGTTTCTCAATGTCAAGGATACTTCCTTGGCAGGACGGGTCCTTCCAAGTCATTTCCTTCAGAGGCTAGGCAAGGGTCCTCTTTAGCGTTCGGAGAACATGTAAATGGAACAGGCTAGCAAGTGCACGTCATTGCGTCATTACATCAGTGAAAGGTCCGCTTCGGCGCTGCAAAAATCATTGTGCTGGTGTACTGCACTGTTTAAATACACTTGACAGTCCTTATTTTGTCTTGTCAGTCCTCATAGAAATAAATAAATAAAGGGATAATGTATAACCAGGCGGTTGCTATAGTGAATACAACCCCGCAAACTCTAATGAAGAGGGGTCTTGATCAGCCGGTTGTATTCGCTGTAACAACCGCCTCGCTATACATTTTCCCACTTATAACATGGCTACCTACCAAATAAATCAATAATTTGACACAAAATATTGATTTAAAAAGGAGTTTATTCATTCAAAAACGATTATATTACCGGAGTTAACAGAACTACGTCCATATAGCAACATGATCTAACGTTAGCTGTTAAAACACATGCAATTGTAAAATATGTGACCAACAAAAAAGGCTATGAAGTAAAAATTAAAAAGTTAATCACCAGTAAAAGGGAACAGCTTTAAATCCCCTCAGCAAATTTGAGCCGATATGTTAAATAGTTTAACAAACATTAAACAAATGGCTAAACTGAAATTATACTTGCTTACATTTGAAAGCATATTGCCGTTATCACTCCGACTCCGCTAACGGTCGACATTTTTTTATTTTTTGAACAAGATAGCAAAGCTGCGCATAGGATTGTGGGTGATTTAAGAGCGCGAAGGCTACACATATGCATCCTTTCCTGTGTATGGGATATTTTCCGAACGAAGGACTCAGTCCTTGGTTGAAATTCTGAGGATCCTCGACATTGGAACAGTCCTTCGACGGACGTCGATGACGTAGCATCCTCGAAATTCCGGCTTCCGAGGATCCTTCCTTGACATTGAGAAACGCCTAAGGAGCTGGCTTAAGTTCAGGAAGTAGTGCAGCTGTGCATAAAGTCCATTGGCCAATTTTTTGAACGACGACAAGCCGAAATATAAACAAGCTGAAATGAAATAGGAGTAACGAGGCTATTTTTAAAATGTAAGGAGTAGAAAGTACAGATAATTGCGTGAACATGTAAGGAGTAGAAGTAAAAAGTCAGCTGAAACATAATGACTCAAGTAAAGTATAGATATACCCAAAATTTCTACTCAAGTAATGTAACGAAGTATTTGTACTTTGTTACATTAGATACGAAGTATTTGTACTACACACACTTCGGCGAGTGCAGAATGAATGGGAGTCTATGGGGCTAAACGGCTAAATGTGTCTCTTTCACCTGCTTGTCGTCAAATCAACATAGATTTTATTGTTGATTCCGGAAGTTCAATATAGATTACAGGCCAAAAGTCGAATGAACGAGTACTTATGACCTTTTGATTTCTTACAGGTTAGGCTGTTGTTGGCCGGAACACGCTAGCATTCTGCTATTGTGTGACGTCATCACATTTTTGAACGGATTTTTTGAACAGATAAGTGAACTTAAAAATGCAATTTTCAGCTGAGTGTATTATCTTAGCCCTCCCTTTTGAATGCAACTTTCAAATTACGTGACAAAAAATTACATCCTGAGAAAAGTGGATTTCTGGGGGTGAAACCCCATTGACTCCCATTCATTCTGCACTCGACCGCGAGCGCCCCCGCATGGACAGAGACGTGTTACTGCAGCCAGTCCAGAAACTGGAAGTAACCAGCCAGTGCCAATTCTCTTCAATTAGACATTCTCTGCCTATGCTTCTCCATCCATTTACGCTTCTTTCCATAACAGACTTTTACCGTATATGATTTTACAGCAATAAACCGTATTTCATTATCTGATATAATGTTAATTTGCTAACCTTTTGAAGTATTAATATCTGTTTTGCACCATTGTAATATACACCGACAGTCAACAATCACAGCAGATATGAAAGTCACATGACTTTCATCAGCGCTCTTCACAAGCAAAGAAAGTTAAATAGAAAGAGTCTAATATATAGAAGCTGCACAGTGTCACACAAACATTAAAGACCATCATAACATGTTGAAATGTAAAAAATGCAATCAAAATTAATTTAACAACATTAGATGTAACATAAAACTCTAATGTACATGTAAATTTTTCTGGTTAGAAAAAAAACGAAGAAAATTATATAGAAATAGTTATTTAAAATACATCAAAATAAAATACATCAAATGTGAAGTGTCACACAGGGAATTGTGGGAATGTCAATTTATGTTTTTTCACTGTAAATTTTACAATGACTTGTTCTTTTTCTCTTCCAAAAACTGTAAATCTAATGGTATTTTACAGTAAAATTACATTAAATGTACCATTTATATACGTCACAGTTATTATATAGTAAGGACACTTTCTGTTAACCAATTAACACTTTTTCACTGTAGCATTTCAACCTCTAGTCTTTTACCGTCAAAATCATGATAATTTTTTACAGTGTTGCGTACATCATAATATAAGATGTATACACAGAGGAAAAAAGCACAATGACAAGGTTAAATATCTTTGAATAATTCATCATAATACATAAAGAATGCATTTTTTGTTTGCTATTTATAAGCCCGAGGGATTAAAGAAGAGTTCAATTTAAACAAGAAAACAATGGAGATTTAAGTGATTTTTTGCTTGTGGGTGAACATTTTTTGCACATAAAATAAAGACATTAAAAACATATTCAAATGATAAAATAATATCTTTAAGGATACAACTGTGGGTCAGTCTCATTAGTGGGTTAAAAATATAAGAACTTGAATCAACCCATAATTTATTGGTTACACTACAATCACAAAATAAATGGCCAGCTGTTTCTTCAACCACAAAATGAGCAAGTCTCGTCAATATAAAGATATTTTACAGGTAGATGAATTAAAGTTGTTGCACTTGTGAGAACGTCGTACTGTATGTCACATGATAGCATCAACATGCCGGATGATGTACGGATCGCATTCATACTTAACCAGATCAGGCTTACCTCTTTTACCTCTTTTTTTTTTTCATATTTTAAAATCTACTTCAGTTTTGACTGAAAAGTGTGCTTGCATTATACTAGAAAATTATATAACAATATTCCATGTACCCTGACAATCCCAGTACAATTGGCAGGTTCACTTGTACAAACCAGTTGAACTTGAACCACTTGGCTTTTGTGTTTTGTCTGTCAAACAGGTTTTTTCAGATGTTTGCCAATATAATTATCTTTCTCTAATAAATGATAAATGAGCTCATTGAGAAAAGTCCTTAGTACCTTGTCACTGTGCCATCTCATCTGTAAGATATTTCATAGGTGCAAACTCACCTTTGTAACCATAGTACACAAGCAGAATATGTATTACATTCTACAGAAAAAACAAACATTTTTGATTTTGTTCTTTGAACCATTTTAATGCCCGCCCCAAATAGGTATAAAATAACATAATTTTCCATACATTTTATAATGGTTTATGAATCTAATGCTGGTCAGTCAGCATCCTCTTTAAGAGAGGATTTGGATTTAAAAATGGATTTAAAATGACATTTTAAATGTCCCTCTAACCCCAGTACCAGCTGTTGATATCTTTGACCACTGTGTAGTGCTTATTCTTTTTAATATGGTCACAAACCCGACAGGCATGGGCAAGACCGAATGATGTTCGCTTTGAAATAAAATGCTTTCTCCAGGTGAAGTACTGCCTGTATAAGTCCTCGTTTTGGTCCATGAGTTTCAGATGATCAGCCAGTTCTTTTGGGGATGGAAAGTCATCCACATGGATGAAGGCTTCACTTGGTATTAACTGCTCATAGTTCTCTCTCGGTGGACCAATAACGACAGGAACGGTACCAATCCTAAGAGGGTTGAACACCTTCTCAGTTATGTAGTCTCTGTGAATGGAATTCTCAAACGACAAGTAGAATTTGCAAGTGTGCATCAAATTTATATAATCATCATTACTCATTGGTTTGTTGAAGTGTCCTCCATAGGCATCCACATTAATGTATTTCACTAACTCATTAAAGTATTGTGAACGCCTAAAGTTTGGATTATAGTGACTTACTACCCAGCAAACTAATTTATCCTTCTTCGGGATAGTGTAATTTTTCTCTTCCTCTGTGGCCTCTGAGAGCCAACCGTAAGGTACAGGAATATCTGAATCGCGGCGGTAACTTGAAGTCAGATTAAACAGATCCTTTAGCGGGGGATGTAAAGCTGAATTAGTTGGAGACTCCATATTCCACCATATCCACTTCTGGTAGGCAGGTCGTGGAAGTTTTGGCATGTTGGATAAATCCCCTCTGATATCTCTATGATGAATCATAACCCCGTGTGCTTGGTTATACAGACTTCTGTCATCTGTTAAACGACAGCCATGGATATTGTAAGCCGAACTGCAGGGTCCTAAGCCAAAGCTAACACCAAAAGGCCACATCCAGATCAATATAATGGTTTCTGGTTCTTCTTTCTCAGCAGTAGTCAAGGGTTTTGATGTTGTCATCGGGGGTTTATCCACAGGGATATTCACAGTGCATGTGAAGTTCTGCATCTTAAGAACACCGAGGCATGTGTTTGTGCTGATGTTATTTATCCGGCCAGGACAACTGAACAAGTTTATGGGTGAATATTTGAATTCCGCTGGTGTGAGGTAAGACATATAGACTGTAAAACATACCAACACAAACAAGGCAAATAATATGCTCCGTTTGGTTTTGGAAGGAGTTTCTGGCATCATTTTGTATGTTGACATTCACTAATGCAGGGAAGAAGATAGAGCATGCATTAATAATTGGCTTAAAATATCGATAAAACCTGTTTCTTTCTTCTGTTGAACACAAAAGATATTGACGAATGTTACTAACCAGACAGTATTGATTGCCGTAGTGTTTTAAGGCTATCGTCAACTGTTTGGTTACCAGGATTCTTCAAAATACCTTTTGTTTGATTTAAAGGGATATCCACCCAAAAATGAAAGTTCTGTTATCACTTACTCGCCCTCAAGTTATTGCAAACCTGTATGAATGTCTTTCTTCTACTGAACACAAAGGCAGATACTTTAAAGAACGTTTGGAACCAAATCGTTCCAGTTGTTTGGCACCTTTGACTTCCTTAGTATTGTTTTTTGTGTTTGTTTTTTTTGACAATGGTGGCAAAGTTTCAATCGTTCTTCAAAATATCCTCCTTTGTGTTCAGCAGAAGAAAGAAACACAAACAGGTTTGCGAATGTCAAAAATCCATGTCAAGTGACCTTTAAGGTTTTAACAGGAAACAAACAGAAATAATGGTTGAAGATAAGTTATATAAACCCCATTAAAATAACAGCAATTGTTTTTTTCAGCAATTTACATGTACATTCTATAGTATCATAGTTTTTTTTTCTTCTTTTATTTACTTAATTACTTTTTGTTGCAGGTCTAATCTGACGTAGCCTATAAATCGAATTAACCTAAAAAAAAATATGCTGGTCTTATACGTTTCAATTTTACTAATTAAGTAATTATTGATTCTACATGGTAAAATGTAATATACACTGCAAAAAATAAAATAAAAATGTTGTAAAACATTCTTTGACAACTTCCTTGTTTCCATCCTTTAACTGTCATAATATTTTTTAATACTACATAAATGACATATGTAAAGTATCTGAACTACTCAAATTTGTATTATTTGCTGACGACACAAACATCTTTATTTCGGGTCAGAATTTACAGCAACTCCTGGACTTAATCACTTCAGAATTCATAAAAATAAAACAGTGGTTTGACACTAATAAGTTATCTTTAAATTTTAGCAAAACTAAATTCATGATATTTGGTAATTGTAAGTCAAACAATCAAGTTCAGCTACAGATCGAGGATGTAAATGTAGAACGAGTACATGAAATGAAATTCCTTGGAGTGATTATAGACGACAGGATTTGCTGGAAATCTCACATTAAACATATCCAAACAAAATTGTCTAGAAGTATCTCAGTATTGGCTAAAGCTAAGCACATTCTAAATTACAGATCACTCCACATTTTGTACTGTTCACTCGTGTTACCGTATTTAAATTACTGTGTAGAGGTTTGGGGTAACACATATCAAAATTCATTGCAATCCTTATTTATGCTTTAAAAAAGAGCAATTAGAATTATTCATAACACAGGATATTTGGAACACACCAACACATTATTTTTACAGTCTAAAGCACTAAAATTAATTAATCTAATTGAATTTCAAACAGCAATATTTATGTTTAAGGTTAGGAAAAATGTATTGCCTGGTAGTATACAGAAAAGGTTCTTGGAAAGAGAGGGGTGTTACGACTTAAGGGGAAGGTTAAATTTCAAGACTACCAGTTATCGAACAACTAGGAAAAGTTTCTGTTTGTCTGTCTGTGGTGTTAAGTTGTGGAATAATCTAAATAATGAATTTAAGCAATGTCCAAACATAATTCATTTTAAAAAGATGTTCAAAGAAATTATATTCCAGAGTTACAGAGAAACATAGTGTTAACTTGAGCTTATATTGAATTAACCCGTAGTATAAATATTGTCATGTATCGGGAAACATCCTTATGTGTATAGAACTTCTGAATCAATACTTTCATGGATTATAGATTGATTACTTATTTAGATTTGTTTTTTTGTTTTTTTAGGTATTTGTTTAAATATGGTATAGGGGGGTAGGAGTACATAAGTTTTACTTCTTCCTACTCCTTTTTGCACATGTAAATAGAGGGTTGTTTTTTGTTTTTTTGTTTGATTGTGCTTTTCTTCAAGTATTGGAAAGTTTGGATTTTTTTTTACCTTGTTGTTCATTTTTGTTTTTTTTCTTTTAATTAATATTCCTTGTTTCATTGATTAATAACTGTATTTTTATTTATTATTTACATGTTCAAAATAAAGATCTCAAATCAAATCAAATCTTTAAGGAAGATCCCAAAAGATTTTTTGTTTTTAATTAAAAAAAAAAAATTACAGTAGTTTTTTTAACACATATACTGTATATCCACATATAAAAATACTCTGACTTACCTGTCTTAGGAAAGTGAAGGCAATCAAAATGATACGTGATTGTTAGGCATATCCTTCGGTAGAGTTCACACTGGTCCAGTGAGTTTCCAAAACTGTGACACTGCATTATTCACATATCGAAAGGCGAAGCTGTTGTAGGATTGAGACACCCTTAGATTTTTTCATCACTACACAATAACTATACCCTGGAAATCTAGACACACCCTAGTGGCATCAAAAATAATTTTGCCGCCAGTGTGGTCTAGCAACTCTCTGTTGGCTTTCAAAGTGGAAAAATCAAACTCTGGTCAGGCCAATCACATCGTGTATAGAGTTGGTGGGCGGGCTTAACACTGACGGCAGAGTTTTGACGGTTCTGCGCCGTGATTTTCCATCGGTGATCTCCCTGCTACTTGAAAACAAACAAGATTCTCCTGGCGAACAGCAGTCTTTCGAATTTACTTTGGCCGCGGCTCTGGACGACTTGGGGTTAAGAGAATGTCACTTAAGTTATTCTTAAAAAAGGAAGATGTGTTCGGAGTTTTGACGAACGGATACAGCAAAAGTTCAATATATCAGCTAGCTCTGCTGGTGGGAAAACACATTGGATACACTCAGCCACAGCAGTTCGTTGCTCTGGTTGTGGCGCTATCCTATGGCGTGCAGAGGGATATTGAAAGACAACCGTTTATCCCGCCCCTCAGATTGAGGTATGCCAATTGTGAGTTCCCAGACCTAACATCTTGATGTAGGTCTGGCTTGCCAGAATACAAAAACTATGTTGAAAAGAAGTGATTTCTGTACTAAAATATCATAAATCAATAATATCTATAAGTGGTTTATATTTTCTACAATTCACTCATAAACATAAGGTGCATTTTTGTCTGAACTGTACCCTCGAGTACAGTTGATACAGTATTGTACCATAGGTGCCGATTCTGCCGGTGATTTTGGGTTCTGACATTGTTGCAGCACCTCTCTTCTCAGTCTGTCAGTAACGGTCTGTTTAGTTCCCTTCTCTATGAAGCCCCTCCTTCTGAAAAGAGCACTGTGATCTGATTGGTCGGCTGTTTTGTCAACCACTTTCAGTGTGTTTCGTAAATGTCCTGCCACTTACTATAACTGCAAGTTTCATCACACTACTAACTGATCTAATCCTCCCTTGTATAGTCCCCCCGAATCCGTAATTTCTTTACAATTAAAAGGTACGGCGTTATATCGTCAGTCAATCATGATGAAACACCCATTTAGAGTGAAGAATGTCCGCCAGCGAGTTGAGAGATTTGTGCTCGCGCATTACTTGTTTATGCTCTCGACATTCATAAAAATTGGTTAAAATTGTAGCTACAGTTCAGACACCCATTATGTGACATTATTTACAAGCTGTTTTATTGACGTCTTTCCACGGTTGAAACCTTATAGTGAAGTGTTACCATTTTTTTCTTTTGGGACAGTGAGAATAAAACAATTGCTACTACAATTTACTTAAAAATATTTAATTGGAACAATGACGTGGTTTGACAAACTAACATTTTTCCATTGGCTCAACATATTGTTTCTGATTGACCCTATGTTAACAGACTGGCCACAATTAATAAAAGTCAATTCACAAAAAAAGCCACATGGTTTACCATGATCATCTGACGATGATATGAGAATTTACTGAAAGGCTACGGGAAAGTGTAACTAAGTTAATTAAATACATTTGGAAAATGCACACATCCATTCTTAATCTTATGCCTAATATGCTGAAAACGGTGCTGGGTGAGTTTGTTTGCATCCCTGTACAGTATTGTACAGTTAGCTAGATACATTTTTCATATCACTTTTTGACCGGTCTGAAATTCATGCTTGGCTTCTGTAAACGAATAGCCGCCTTTGATTTTAATTGGCCATCTCAGTCCTTTTGACATTGATGAGTGCTGTTTGACCACTGCATTTTATTATACACCACAAATACTATGGTACAAAAAAACCGGCTTGGGCATTGGGCTTGGTTACCCAGGGCAGTCGCTAGAGGGGAAAAAGGTTGTGATGATTTCAGTGGGGGGGAACCTAATCCAACAGCAACAACCCCAGCTCCAGCCCTGCGTTTACTTCATTGGTGGGTGTACGGTCATGAGAAAAGAAGGATGTGAGACTTGCAGGAAATGTTGAAATCCACAATAGTTTTTAAAAGGAAGTTTGTTTCAAATGGTTAAGATACAAGTCACAGATACATGTGAGGAAGGTTTATCATTTTTGTAAAATCCCTGATTAAATCATGGCTTTTCTGCTGAGTACCCTAGTGCTGCTTTTAGGAGTCCAAGGTAAGTCCTTTTAGGAAACATAAGTCAATTTTGTATACGAAACCTGTGCTGGTTCTTTGAATTATTCTAGGGAGTAGGATTCTTTCAAAACACTTCTGCTTTGTCAGTCATAAAAATATATTTTTAATGTTTTTGAAACATTCATAAATCTGATGTAATAACGTTGGACATTATATAATGACTAAAATGAACAGCATTAATTATGTACTTCATCAGTTCATACATTAGTTTGTATCTAAACTATATCAGGAAGAACATTACAGTTAAACAGTCTAATGTAATAAAACAATTGGTAAGACAGCAGATTGTTACATTTCTACAGTAAAACCATATTGGGATTTATTCCAAATTGAACAAAAAATTGCCAAGTTAAATTTCAACATCAATTCTCTGACGTGCAAGTGATTTCTTTCGTAATCATGCTCGCCTGACTTTGCAACCCAAAAATTTCCGATGTTCCCTCTCACCAGACCGGCTCTTTTTCTTCAGTGTATTCACTCAGAAATAAGGAAGCTTCCAAGAGCTTCACTGACAGGCCTACTGGCTACACCAGTGTTTCCCAACCCTGTTCCTGGCGGCACACCAACACTGCGTGTTTTCTTTGTCTCCCTAATCAAAGACACCCGATTCAACCCATCAGCTCATTAACCCACCTG